TCTCTCTCTCTCTCTCTCTCTCTTTCCTTAAACGAGTATTTCGTTGACTAGTGGTTATAACCTGTCAGTTGAATATTCCTGCGTATATCATCCAGGAAGATTTTGCTATTGAAAAGGAGAATTCCGTGGATTGGACAGTGATACTGTATAGTGATAATACGACCCGAAGATGCCGCTCTTCGGTAAGAAGGATTCGAACAAAAAGATCAAGAAAGATGGGAAAGACGACAAATCGCCGTCTGTCGAAGACAAATACATCCTAAAGGAGTTACTTGGAACGTATGTACTTACACATTATTACGGACTGTGTATTGGAAAGTAATAAAAACCGATTGCATGGGATTTCATTATTTTTGTATTTCATGTCTTTGATTTGATGTTGCTCAATTAACACCTTAAAAGTCACTTGAAATACAGATTTTGATGCATTTATAGGAAATTTGACATTGCAGAAATGCATAGAATCGGCAAAGAATGCTCGAAATACAGTTTTTGGTAAACTATTTAATAAACGAAATAGATCTTTGCGTAGGTTTTGCTGAGTATCTAGATACATATGTGCAATCGAATTAACTCGGGATATGTTCTAAAAGTCATGAAATTTATATTAAACATTATTATTTGTGATTGGAATTTACGTGAAAGATTATCAATGCCATTTTCCTTTAAAAACGTCTTTTAATATTTTAATTTCGCTTTTGTTTGTTCTTCGAACGTTTCAAACATTTCTATTATAAAATCATTTTCAAAGCGAGAAATTAGACATATTGACAATAATTCTTTTATATTTATTTTAAAGCTAAAATGTTTTTTAATGATTTATAGAAAGATTAATATTATCAATGGATGTAAAATTTTCTTGAGCAGGTTTCGTAAAAGATGCTTTCGTTTTGCAGGATCTAAAAATTACTGCTACTTATTGGCACGAATTTAATTATTCACATCTATCTTACATTTACTTTAACTGTACATATATTAAAATGTTTAAATTAGAATTCGAATTACGTACAATAAAATAGCAAAAGCTTCGAAAGCTTTGGTTATTACTTTATATTTGTTTCATTAAATACAAATCAATGTCGATGTATTATAAATATAATTATTAATGTAATTATTAATATAATTATAAATTGTTATTAAATAAATAAATATTTTGAATTTATTCGGATTTATAAAAAGAATTTGTTTTTAAAAATTTGATTTAATTATATTTATGTTAGTAACGTTTATATTATAGTAAAGATATTTCATAATAGTTTGAGAAAAAGAAATAGTTTCTGTCAATTATATATATAAATAAATATATAACTATCCTTTCACATATTGTACTCTCATTTATAATATCTGAAGTACTTAAAAAAAAAATATATATATATGACATTGATCAATATGTCTCACTATAGTATGTAATTAAAAATTCTATTATCATGTTAGAACACTTGCACATGCCAATATTGTCTATTACCATATCAAAAGTTTGGGCAACAAATGTTTTGGCACATTATAGCAATTAGTAATTGAATATAAATGGATAAGTCACGTGACATTATTACAATGCAATATATTCTTATTATCCTTATATAATATATTTATTTATATTTTTTTATATTTGTTTGTATAGGGGTGCTTTCTCTGAAGTACGTTTGGCAGAAAGTAAAGAAAAACCTGGTCAAATGTTTGCTGTGAAAATCATTGATAAGAAAGCATTGAAAGGGAAAGAAGACTCTTTAGAAAATGAAATAAGAGTGTTACGGAGGTAAACATTTAGTTTCTGCAGATAAATTTATTTGAATTCCTCTTCAGTGTTTGTATTACTGCAAATTATATTGTATTTTTTTTAGGTTAACACATCCCAATATTGTTCAACTACTGGAAACATTTGAAGATAAACATAAGGTTTATTTAGTTATGGAATTGTAAGTAGTTTCATTTGCTGATGAATTACTATATTATAAATTTATGTTTAATCTTTACTTGTTCTTTTAAATTAGGGTTACTGGTGGAGAATTATTTGATAGAATTGTTGAAAAAGGTTCCTATACAGAAAAAGATGCATCAGGTTTAATAAGACAAGTTTTAGAAGCTGTTGCTTACATGCATGATCAAGGAGTGGTGCACAGAGATCTTAAGCCTGAAAACCTTTTATATTATAGTCCAGAAGAAGACAGTAAGATTATGATTAGTGACTTTGGCCTATCAAAAATGGAAGACTCTGGTGTTATGGCAACTGCTTGTGGTACTCCAGGATATGTTGGTATGATTCACTTTTGTAATGTTGGGTATGTCTATATGTGACTAATTTTTTTTGAAAAATTGAAACATGTTTTTTTTTCTATTTACAGCTCCAGAAGTCTTAGCACAAAAGCCATATGGAAAAGCTGTGGATGTATGGAGTATAGGAGTCATTTCTTACATTTTATTATGTGGTTATCCTCCATTTTATGACGAAAGCGATGCGAATCTGTTTGCACAAATTTTAAAAGGTAATAAAATTACTTTAGGGTGCAAATATTTATTATCATTTGGACTGTACTATCACTTCAATTTAGGTACTACCTTTAGAATTGATAAACACATGCAGCTGTACATTAACTTGAAATTTTCATTTTTAAGGTACTATTCTAGTTTTTGTATGCTGCTATATACATACTAGTGTAGTAAGTAAATGATCATTTGTGTGTGTCCGCGGTTTTTGTGGAAGTCATTAATTGTTAATGTTCAAAATTTAGCCTAAAATTCGATCACAATATCAGCATTGTTTAAATAAATTACAAGAAACAAATTTATTGTAATTTATTATATTTACATAGTGTGAGAATCTTTTTCCAAATAAAATAATTCATTCAAAAATCAAATAAATCATAATAAAATCGTCTACTCTATAGCAAGAAGCTAACCAGACTGTTATAGGTGAATTTGAATTTGATTCGCCGTACTGGGACGATATCAGTGACTCTGCAAAGGATTTCATTCACAAATTGATGTGTGTCAATGTTGAGGAGCGCTATACTTGTAAACAAGCCCTTGCACATCCTTGGTAAGATCATTATTATGCTCAAATATTGTATATGATTCGTTTTATTTGAAATATTACATTCTCGCATATATTT